AAAAAAAAAAAAAAAAAAAAAAAAAAAAAAAAAAAAGGTGAGAGCCAAATGTCCCTTTTTGTAAGTTTTTTCCCCCTCGCGACTAAAGCAAATTTCTCCAGTCAAAAGAAGAAAAAATGATTTCCCCCATCCAGTTGTTCGGAACTGCGGCAAACGCAGTAATCCATTATTATGATGCTATCCACAAAAGCAAGCAGCTCTGAAAGGGCGATGAGAAATTTGTCCAAAGGACCTAAAGTTCTAAAGAATCTAAACCCATAACCATACTGATATCATAATGGTGGAAATGCAAAGTCAGTGAACTTACAGTTGCCTCATAGATCCGTACTCGGAACCAATCCAGGCTGTCAACGCTGATGAAGTGTTCATCAGCTTGATTGCCGATGGGTAGTCGTACCCTTCACTCTGTTGCACACACAGATCCACAATATCACAAATATTCAGTTGCAAGCTGACATGTGGTAGGTAGGTAGGTGGGTAGGTGGGGAACAATTCATTTGAGCCATGTGACACATACATTGGAGTGCAATCCTATGGTATTCCATTGACAACCACCGCCGGGGTAGTAGTGGTGGGGACCACCGCTAGTAGTGGTGGGGACCACCGCCGCCTGGTAGACGGTTCATCGATCTGGTTTGGGATTCACAAATATTCAGTTGCAAGCATCTTGACCAATTGTGAAATTTTACAAAGAATGAAAGTCATAAACTATTATAAAGTTTCACTGTGAGACGTAGCTACGCTTGGAGGGGTCACCGGTATAGCCTTAGGAGTAGTGGTAGGTAGGTAGGTAGGTAGTGAAAGGTGGATTTGAAAGAATTTGAGAGAAGAATATAGCATAGTTTTTAAAAAGGAAAAAGAAAAAGAAAAAAAGATTTCTTTCCTTTTTGTAATGGAGACAAAGGGCCTCGCTGCACTACTCTCGAAATGTGCAAAACGAGAGTGAATCTTCCGCTAGAATATGAAAAGATACACGGCCATGATTTTTGTCTTTTGTGCATGTCAAGAGTGGTGCAGCGAGGCCCAAAGGATATAAAAAGTTTGTAAATTGAAAGAAAACAGGGCTCTACCTCCTTCCCCCGAATAGACTGTATAGGCATTATCCCTGCATCTAGACTGGAAGTTGCCCCAAATACAGCTATAATGAGTCGTATTAATGGCCATGCTTTCTATTTGGGTATACTGCACAATGGATGGGTCATGACTCGTGAATTATCAGATCCGAGCCATCACAAAAGGGGATGGATAGATCGACATCATCAGCTTGGGGAAAATGCAACAGATAAAGCACATTACCTGAGCTGGGGGTGGGCAATCAATTGGGTCAAGACCAAGGACCCCTACGACTCGGCTGTCGTACTCCGCAGCCAGCATTGCAGACTTTGCGCCATCAGAATGTCCCATCATAAACACCTGTGCATTTGTATAGCTGTCTGGCTCCACTGTTTCCAGCACCCAATCGATTAGTCCAGCTGCAATGAGACCCCGTGACCTGCGCATGGAACCGTGCCGCCCCCGACAAGCAGCCCACTCGTCAGTGTGATGGCCACTTGCAGCTCACATCTAAATGGCAAACACTTACTCGTAGAGACATGCTGCATTATGCACACCTGGCGGACGTTCAAAGCTCACCGGGCAAATAGCTGTAATTACGTTTCGAAAGTTTCAAACTGATGACCACACACCATCAACTCACCGATGCATATCAAGCCCATGTTGGCTGCACGGTACACACACACGTAAGTAGCTCTTGATTAACAGGTTAAGAGTTCTAATCCTGATGGACAACATCAGGGACCATCCCCTTTTGGAGATAACTGACTAATCCGTGGCAGAGAGTGATCTTGCCGAAGGAAACCAGCACACCACCACCACCACCACCACCACCAGCACCACCACCACCACCACCACCACCACCAACAACAACAACAACAACAACAACAACAACAACGACAACAATAACAACGACAACAATAACAACAACAAATGACGACAACAACAACAACGACGACAACAATAACAACGACAACAATAACAACAACAAATGACGACAACGACCACAACCATAACAACAACATCAACGACCACAACAACAACCACGACAGCAACAACAGCAGCAGCAACAACAACAAGAAGCAAGCAAGCAAGCAAGCAACAAGCAACAACAAGCAACAACAAGCAACAACAAGCAACAACAAGCAACAACAAGAAGCAAGCAAGCAACAACAAGAAGCAAGCAAGCAACAACAAGAAGCAAGCAAGCAACAACAAGCAAGAACAAGAAGCAACAAGCAACAAGCAACAAGCAACAAGCAAGCAAGCAACAACAACAAGCAACAACAAGCAACAACAAGCAACAACAAGCAACAAGCAACAACAACAAGCAACAACAAGCAACAACAAGCAACAACAACAGCAACAACAACAACAACAACAACAACAACAACAACAACAAAAACAACAACAACAACAAGCAACAACAAGCAACAACAAGCAACAACAACAACAACAACAACAACAACAACAACAACAACAACAACAACAAAAACAACAACAACAACAAGCAACAACAAGCAACAACAACAACAACAAGCCCATGTGTGTGGATGATACACACAGGTAATTAACCATGGCAACCGGCCGGACATCTGGACCGGAATCCAGACGGTCCGGTTGTCTGGGTATGGGTCCGGTGTCTGGTCCGGTAGGTCTGGATTGGGCCCAATTTTGAAAAATTCGAATTTTTTTTGGGGGGGGCCTAGGACGTTTTTCGGGTCCTAGGCCACCCCCAAAAAATGCCCCCGGTATTTTTTGGCCATTTCAGGGCCTACCGGACGCCGCCAGACGCTTCCAACAGCTCCCTCTGCTGTTGTACTACACTGGTAGTTCGGATGAGGATGAGTCTGATTCCAAAAATGAAGCGCTGGCTGCAAAGCGCCAAAGAACATCAAGCTAGAGAGAGAGAGAGAGAGAGAGAGAGAGAGAGACAGAGAGAGAGAGAGAGAGAGAGAG